ATATATATATATATATATATATTTTAATGAGTTAAACATGTTTTTAGTCCTTATTATTATGTGATTATTTTTAATTACTTATTTTTTTATTAAAATATTAAGTGATCATCTTAGATGTTACATACAATTTTTAATGATATTATGTTTGTAGGCAATACATCTAAATTGTTTAAAGATCTTTAAAATAAACGTTATTTATATGTCTCGAAATCATCATTAGGAACAAAAAAAATTATTAATTTAAGATTTTAAAATACTTAAAATCAAAGAAAAAAAATAGTTTATAGGATCCAAAATCAAAATTTACTCATTTTACAAGAACAAACAGTACTTTACAAGAACTAGAAACAATGTTTACAAAATTTAAAAAGATGAAAAGCAAATAAATTTTTTATAAAAATCAAAATCAAAATTTACTCATTTTATGCGAAATGAAAATATATTTAAGTCTATTTTGATTTAAATTATTGGATAACATTAATATTAAGCTAAATTGCATTTTTGATTTTTCTACAATATCATATCCATACTTTTGGTTCATTTATTTTTTGCAGTTTTAATCTTCCAATTTCATTAAATTTGTAATTTTGGTGGTCTCATCAAATGTTCATCTATTAATTGTTAAGTAAATGACACAATTATTAATTAATAATATTTAGACTAAATTACACTTTTAATTCTTATTTTTATCTCATTTTACCTCATTTTATATAACTTTTACGATATAAAATAAAAATAATTGAAAGTAAAATTTAATTTAAATATTATTAAATTTTGATTGTTATGTCATCTACTTTGTATTTCACAATTAAATTAAAATTACAAATTATATGAAATTAAAAAACTAAAATTATAAAATTAAACATAGAAAAATCAAAATAACATATTTAATATTATAGATGGCTTACTACTCAAAGAATTTAAAATATCCATCGCAGACATGTTGATATTGAACAAGAAAATAAAACTTTTCTCTCTAAGATTGTTAGAAAATAAATAAATTTAATAGAGCACAATAAAAATAACTATTTAGATTTATCAATAGAACCAATATCAACAACACAATGAATATTATAAAATTAAAACAGAGCAATCAGTAACAACTAGTTAAACACAAAGAGTAAATAAAATTAAGAAGTTTAGAGTAGCCTGGGTTGAAGCACGCAGAGCGCTATCCTTAGAGAGAAAACGCCCCCACTGCACTGGTAATTTTGAGTCTTAAAGTGCGCTCCTCTCCCAAGATACGTCAACCCGTTAGACCGTTCGAGTGCAGCGAAAGATCCCCGAACCAAAGAACACCGCTCCAAAATTATAATTTTGTAATAGAGAAAATATTGAGGGAGAAATAAAATAAGCTTGCTGTGTAATTTTCTGTGTGTCGAGAACTGCTTTTTTCTCACGTACCCAAGTCCCTTTAAAGTTACAGTTTTAGTGTATAAGCATAATAAGGAGTGCACCTCAATTTTCGGAAAAACTGCATGTACGTACTATGCACATGCTAATTAATCGGAAAAGAAACCGTGGGTCTTGGATAAGGGCACGTACAAGCCAAAACGGTTTTGGTTTTCGGAACGTTAAAAAACAAAAGGATTAATCATATTAAATATTTAATTTAAATTTTAAATTATAAAATAATTTCTCAACAATCCCCCACTAATTTAAAATTTAAATATAGAAAATAGAATATGTGAACAAACTTCAAAAGAAATTTTATACATGAAGAAGATATCGATAAATTTGAAATAATTAATAACTAAAAAAAAAACTTTTGAATGTGGCATAAGAATAAGAAATGTTATTTTTTTTTGTATGTGATGATGAGATAATTAATTAAAATTATTTAAATGTGTATTTATTTAGTCCACAATATAGTTGTTATTTTTATAAGTGTATATATCATTTGGTTCAACTTTAATCTATTGGAATGATTTTACCAAAACTCCAATTAATTTGGTTTAGGAAATATTTGATTTATTAAATATATTTTTAATGATTATCAATGAAATTAGTTGTTAATAAAGTTTTGAATAAGTTTTAAATCGTAATGTTTCATATTGTGATCCTTAATAATCTTTTTTCATGTGATTAATTTATAAGAAGTTTTCAATAAAATTTTCTCAAGGAATATAAATGCTAAAATAAAAGAAGAAAGTAATATGTTAATATCACACTATCAAATTTTTTTTTATAAAAGTAAACACACTAGCAAGTATATACTCACTTTAAGAGAAAAATATTGAAAGGTTTAGTTAACAAATTAAATAAGCAAAGTATAATAATAAATTAAAATAAGTATTGAGTTAATTGCATTAATTTTATTTAAAAAATTTACAATAGTTGTATTATTTAATAAAAAAATAATGAGGTTAATTTATGTTTATGAAATTAATAAAATTAACTTTTAAATTATAATATAATTTTTTTGGTAGAAAATCTATAATATTACTTTAACTATAATTCTTTAGACATATATAATATAAATATCTCAACATGACATTTATCATGATAAAAAAAAGGTAGATATTATATTATACGAATTATCTAAATACTTTATGCATCACACGTGTATCTATCTAGTTATTATAATTATAAGAAATGTGCATTTAATTTGTAGTATGCAAAAATTGTAAGATCTATTTCCACCTTTTGATATTCCATTAAATAACAATTTTTATTGATACTAAAAATTGTGAAATCACATGATACAAACATTTTAAAGAAATCGGAAAATCAAAGGTTTCAAATATGCAAATTCTTTACTTTTCTACCTTTTTCTCGTTTTCATTAAATGTTAATTTTTTTTCTTTTATGACATGTGTTTATTTTTATTGTAAGTGAAAAAGTGTAAAATCGCAAAATGTATATAGAAGTGTGAGACTTCTTTTGTCTCGTCCTAATAGCCCCTTTAATTGTTATTTTCTTTGCAATTAGAAATAGTGAAATTGCATAACACAAATAATTCATGTAAATATATTACTGATTTCTCTCTAATTTTCTTCTCCTTTTCATTTTGTACCTTTTGATATTCTATTTAATATCAATTTTCATTAACAAATTGCAAAATTATTGTAAAATATGACTTAGAAGGGAAAGGATCTCTGTGAACCTAAATATTTCTTCTTCTTCTTCTCAAATTCTTAAGGAAAGATTCATGCTCGGAGACTTTATAGTTGGTGGTGATTCAAAGCAATTAGGAGCCGAGAATCCTATAGAATAGGTACGGAGCTCGGATTGTTGAAGCTCAAAGCTCATTTCCTTCTCTGTTCTCTTCTCTTCTTCTACCTTAGAGTTGCTCAGAGTTTTCCTTGGTTTCACTTCGTTACAAGGTAAGGAAAGCTGGAAATCTTGGGTTTTATTGAAATGTTGGGTTGTTAAATGAATTGATAACTTAACATTAATAGAACTTTTGAAAAATTGTAGTTGTGGGAATGAATTTGAAGTTGGTTGCATGTTGAAACTGAGATATTGACGTTCTTGATGATGTCTTTGAGTTTTGGTGCATGCATGTTGCAATTGTTGTGATTTTATGGGTTGCATGAACGAATTTAGTAGAGATAATGAGTGGTAGATAGTGTTTAAGAGGAATATTGGTGGAGTAAAGGTGAGGAATGAAGGTGAAAACTATGAAAATGCATAAAATTTCTATATTCAGTGCTACAACCATAGTTGAGCGTTGTAGTCTTGGGAGGAAACTAAGTTGGTAGAGATCTAGAGCTTAAGTGTTGAGTTGAGTGTTGCAGTCCTAGGAAGAAATTGAGCTGGTAGAAATCCAACGTTGAGGCACTGAGTTGAGCACTACAACGTTGAGGGTAGAGGATCGAATTTGGTATTGAAATCTCACAAAAGTTGTAGCCTTGAATTTTAACTTTCTAATGGCTTTGAAATCACCTAAAAAAAAGTCTAAAATGTCAGTTATGACCTTCTTAGTAAATAAAGGTCAAACTATCGACATTTATGTAAATTGTTGTAATTTTTACAATTTTTAACATGGTAGATGACGAAATAAGAACTTGAGTTTTTCAAGAAAGTTGTAGAAAATACTATTGTCTTTCATATGAGATAAGAATGATCATGATAGGAGTAATATAACTTCATATGTATTGTTTTATATGAAGATTGTCATTGGACAATAAGTGATTTGGTTAAGTTGTATAAATTGTTGAAAGATAATTAATTGTAAGTCATTATAGTTGCTTTAAATTGATTTATGATGTTGTTTTCTCAAGATGTGAATGTTGTAAAGATGTATGTTGTTTACATTGTTTAAATTGACATGATGTGAAGTTGAAAGTTGAGTCAAGTAGTATGTTGTGAAGTTGTATAACTATGTTAGGATTCTATATGAACAATGTTGATGTATTGTTAAGATGCATATTGATTATAATGTTGTAAATAAGTTGTGATGATGGTGATATGAGTTGAAAAATTGTGTGTTGATTGAGTTGTTATATTGAAAATTATAATGAGTTCTTTGTACCATTATCATCAAAGATGCAAGTATCAC